TCTTGTTTAGAGTTATACTCCCTTGGAGCCAGTACCTGCCACAAGCCTATAATCCCAGCAGTCAAGACGCTGAAGCAGGAAGACAAGAGTTCAAGAACAACTTCAACTGCATAATGAGACACATGCTCCCATTTAGAATAATAATAATAATAATAATAAAAGTCAAGCATAGAGATGCATGTCTATAATCATAGCATCCAGGAGAGGCAAGAGAATCAGGAGTTCAAGGCCATCCTCAGCAACACCTTGAGTTTGAGGTCAGCCTGGGCTTCATGAGACCCTGTCCCTAAAATTCATTAAGGAAGTAATGAATGTTAAACTAAGGTTGAGTGAAGGCCATACAGCTTTCAAAAAGACTGCCCAGTCACTGATGATGGGGGTGGGGAGGGGGGGAGACATGTGGATGGACGGACGGACATATGGAGAGACAGCAAAACACCGAAGTCATGGCACAGTGCTGATCCTTCTCAAAGATCAAAACTCTGGAGTGCCGGGCCTTACACTGAATACAGTTATAGACTTCATAATCAGGGAAACCTCCTGTGGAATGAGCTGGAGAATGTTCCCCAGTTTGATTTTAGTCTCCAGAGCCCAAATGTTAGCTAGGTAGAACTCATTTTAGGGGCTACTGTTCAACCGCTGGGGGAAAAGAATCTTCTTTTTAATGGAAAAAGTATTCCTCATTGTGAAGGTGGCACATAATATTCTTGGCTTCTTCGGTCTCAAATAGAGGGAATTCATGTAGCTCCCTGTACCTCCAACTGTATCTTGAATCTCCTACGTCAACAAAGAAAGCCAGACTGATGGCTAACTTTAAAAAAAAAAATTAATAAGTAGAAAGTACCAGCCCATCAAGAAGAGCACCAGGCAGGTCACATTGTGTAAATGCATCTGCTCTCAAGAAACTTCAAGAGGCTTAGGAATTAACAGATGAAGGGCACCACAGAACCAAACTCAAAGTCAGAATAACTCAGGCAAAAACTCAAGTATTTCAAGCACTCAGAAGCTCAGTTTTAAGCCAACAGGACAGCTCAGGGCAAAAGCACGTGCCACCAGGTCTGATGACCTGAGTTTCATTCCTGGGACCCACATACTAGAAGGAAAAGAACCGATTCTGGCAAGTTGTCCTCTGACTTCTATATTCATGCTGTCACACACACACACACACACACACACACACACACACACACAGAGTCACACACACATACATTCACACACATACACACACATCACACACACACACACTCACACACATACACACACACACAGAGACACACAAGAAATAAATACAATAAAAATGGTGACAATTTTAAAAGTACAGTCCTCAGAAAGCATCAACATACTCCTATTCAGCACAGATCTGAGCTGATAGGCAGTGATGGTGCTCCCTACCCTTGGCATACTGTCATGCAACCAAAAGATCGAAGCAGTGTTCAACAACATAGAGCCCGGTGTCCACAAGTTCACATAGCCCACAGCAACAACACTAAGCAGAAACTGCCATACGCCAAGGACTGTATAAGCACTGTCTCATGAAATCTTAACAGTTATAGGATCTTTAAAGAGGTTTGGTTAAGATCCCTACAGTCACAGTCCAAAGGTAGGTCCAGGGTCTTTGCTGTCAGATTCCAAAGCCCCTGTTCACAATCACTGAACCATCGAGGATTGCAGAGGCCAGGAGGGGACACTTGGGTCTAGCACAGAAGACAAGGTTCCCTAAGGGAAGGGCAGCATGGACTAGGTCAGGTGGGGGAGTAAGGTGTTTGTATGGCGTTCTGGTGGTCAGAGGCTCACAGACAGGAAACAAAGGGAAAATAGGAAAGAGAAAGGCAGTTGATTAGAGATACCATGAGGTGAGAGGTGATTGGGCATAGTCCCTTGACAAGAGATATTAACATGTCCCCTCTTCTTTTTGTCAAGTGCCTGCATGGAGAGACTTAAAATGGAAGCAGAGAAAGTGTCTTAGTTAGGGTTTCTATTGCTGTGAAGAGACACCATGACCACGGCAATTCTTAAAAAGGAAAACATTTAAGTGAGGTGGCAGCTTACAGTTTCAGAGGCTCAGTCCATTATCATCTTGGTAGGGAGCATGGCGGCATGCAGGCAGACATGGTGCTGGAACAGGAGCTGAGATTCCTACATTTGGCAGGCAACAGGAAACGGTCGGAGACACTGGCCATAGGAAGCCTCAAAGCCCGCCCCCACAGTGACACACTTCCTCTAACAAGGCCACACGCACTTCAGCCAAGCCACACCTCCTAATAGTACCACTCCTTATGAGATTATGCGGTCAAACCACCACAGGAAGTGTCTCACAGGAAGAAAGTTTCCAACAGGAAGCCTTTCTTTACCCTTCTTCTGTCTTTCTCTTGGCTCCAGTGCAGTAGCCCAAGGGCCCTGTCCACTAGTCCTCCCAGGTGGCCATGGCACAGTCTTTTGAGCCCCGTGTGACCAGAGAGCTTCTTGGCTTAAGGATTCTAATGGATCCTCAGCTCTGTTCTATCTCGAGCTGTAGTCCTGACTTAAAAGAAAAAATACATTTCAAGCTACACTTCCAGACATTGGAAACCAGCCTTGCAAGGAAAGTGAGGGGCCAGCTCCATGGCACAGGGACAGCTGTAAACTGTCACTAGCACCACAGATACCTGTTCTCCTTAGAAATGTCATTCACTGGATGAAAAAAAAATGTGGTACATATACACAATGGAGTACTACTCAGCAGAGAAAAACAATGAAAGCATGAAATTTGCAGGCAAATGGATGGAACTAGAAAAAAAGTCATCCTGAGTGAGGTAACCCAAACCCAGAAAGACAGTCATGGTATGTACTCACTCATAGGTGGATTCTAGATATAAAATAAAGAACAATCAGACCACAACCCATAGACCATGGAGGCTGTATATATAGCACGGAGGTCCCTAGGACAACTGTGGCTTATAATAAATTTCCGTTTTACTCAATTATTGAAAAAAAAAAAAGCCAAACGAATAGAAGCACATGAACTATGAACCAAAGGCTGAGGGGCCACCCTCTGAATAGGTGAGACAGTTGATTGGTTTGATCTGTTTGGGAGGCATCTAGTCAGTGGGACCAGGTCCTGTGCTCATTGCATGAGTTGGCTGTTTGAAACCTGGGGCTTATGCAGGGACGCTTGGCTCAGTCTGGGAGGAGGGGACTGGACCTGCCTGGACTGAGTCTACCAGGTTGATCGCAGTCCTCGGGGGAGGCTTTGCCCTGGAGGAGGTGGGAATGGGGGGTGGCCTGGGGGTAAGGGAAGGGAGTAGGAGGGGGGAGAACAGGGGAACCCGTGGCTGATATATAAAACTGAATGGTATTGTAAAATAAAATAAAAGGAAAAAAAAGAAAGAAGAAAAAAAAAGAAATGTCATTCACAAACCTTTCTCTCATTCATTCATTCATTCATTCGCTCATCACACAGATAGTTATCAAATACCCATTCTGACCATCTTACCTGATGGGAAGGACAAGGTCCAACAAATATGTCACCTGACCTGGGGAGCCTTATATTGTGTTGCTGGTGGTATTGGTGACAGGTGGCCTACAATAGCTGTAATGAACGTTAGGTTAAAGAAATGCTCAGAAGTCACCATGGTGTCCCCACTGCTGGCACAGCTTGCCTTGCTCACTTCCTGTGTCTTCAAAGTCCGTCCCAGAGACTGGCACACAGAAAAGGCTCAGTAAGTGGTTCCTGAATTAAGCAGAGAGCCTGAGAGTGCTGAGCCCCAATCCCAGCATAGGTTAGAAAAGAAGGGATGGATACACCACAGTTCTTCCGACAGGTGATAGTATGTTCGAGTTGGAAGGGACTGGACAGAGTCATGGATATCGTCGTCTTTCCCTCCCGGGTATCACGTCCAGGCCCTTCCTGCTCTCCCAACGCCATCTTGTGTGGCCGCTCTTCTAAGAGCGCTCAATTCGGTCAGAGTTCCTATTGAAGCCTGGGCATCTAAAGCTGGACTCAGGGCTGTGGTAAAGATGGAGCTTCAGTTGTCTTGTGTTTTCTCAGAGGCTTTGCCATGGCTCTCCCTGAAAATAAATGTGGTCTCATCTCCATAGTCTCCCCTGTTTCAGGGAGGCTAACAGTAAAAGGTGGATTGCAATGGCTTCAGGGGCAGTTACAACGCTCCCTTGTTCCCTTCCGGCCCCACCTCCCACGTCTTAGTGTCCTACTGCTCTTCCCCCCAGGAGTTCAAAACCAGCCTGACCGATGTAGTGAACTCCTAATGTGGCTCAGAAGCAGGGCTCTTGCCTAGCAATTGCAAAACCCTGGCTTTGATCTTCGGCACTGGGGGGTGGGAGTAGGGGGTGGAGGGTGAGAAAACCACATCACTCCCGGATGTCTGGCATTGGCTGCTGGCTTTAGAACCAGGTCTCCAAAATCTTTTTCCTCAGCACTCTGCTGCCTCTCAGGTTGGGCTCTCGTGGGAAAGAAAGTTCTTAGCTTAGTCCTACAAGCTGTCTTTGGTATGATCCCTGCTTTTCTGGTTCCGATGGGTGGCCTTTTACCCATCTAAAGCCAACCATCTTCCTGTCTCTCACTGTCCCTGTCCTGGGAAAGATCTCTTAGGGTCTTTTGTGGCCACACGATGGCCTTGAGGATGGGCAATGGGCAGCCTGGGCCGGGGCCCAAGCAGCAGACCTCCCAGGAACAGTGCCACGTGCGTTTGGGCATGCTTATGGTTTTCTCCAGAGGACTGGAGAGAGAAGCGGGTGGAATCTAGAAACTTCTCAGGCTTTAAGAATTCCTGCCCTCCTCCTCAGTCTGACCCTGACTATGCCTGTCTGGGTCCTGGCAAATGCCCACGGGCAGGACATCAAGAAAAAGAGGGGAGGCCTGTTTGTCATTTGCTCGGTCGCCCCTCCTCCGCACTTGTCTCCACTGGCTGCTCACCCCCTTGCTGCCCGCCTGTCCCTCTGGGCTGCTGGGGCGCCACTACTACTGTCCGCAACCCGCTTTGCCAGACGGGTCTAAAGGCAGCTTGACTCACTGCTCTGCCAACAGCCCACGGCTTGCGCGAGGCTATAAAACCTGCCAGTGAGGGAGGAGGCCCGGTGCCGCCCTGCATTGCACAGTCCGAGCGCGCAGACATGACCCGAGCGGTAGAGCGGGGCCAAGGGGCGGCGGGCTGGGGGCTGCGCGGCGCCCTGGTGGCCGTAGCGCTGCTGTCGGCGCTGAACGCCGCGGGCACCGTGTTCGTGCTGTGCCAGTGGCGCGGGCTGAGCGAGGCGCTGCGGGCGCTGGAGGCGCAACGCGGCCGGGAGCAGCGCGAAGACAGCGCCCTACGCGCCTTTCTGGCCGAATTGAGTCGCGCCCCGGGTCGGGTCCCCGAATCACCCCAGGACCCTGCGAGCGCAGCGCGCAACAAGCGCAGCCACAGCGCAGAGCCTGCGCCACACCTCCGCGCCGAGAGCCAGGACATGATGATGATGATGACCTACTCCATGGTGCCGGTAGGCAGGGGCTCGTCTCGGTGGCGCCCCCCGTCGGTCAGGGCAGCAGGAGGTGATGGGAACTAGGATCCCGTGGCCAGGGACAAGGTCGTGGAGAGAACCCCGGGTATAGTGTGGCTAGGGAGGTCATCCTGGCAAGTTGTTTAACTCTTTTGAGATCAATCTCTTCGTCTTCTGGGACGGGGCAGGGCAGGTCTTCACTTCTGACATCTTTTGAGTCTGCAGGTAAATGAAGGGCGTGGGCCGCCTTTCCCAACTTTTGACAGAAATTTTCTAGGTGTGAACTGACCCACAGCCGCAGCTCCCTGTGGCAGTCTCCGAAAACAAAGTGACTTTTCTTCAACAAGGATCCCTTTGCTTGGCACAATCTAGTGGTTAGGTTTTTTAATCTGGCCTGGACTCATCCCCGTGAGATGGCAACCAAACTGCCCACCTAGATGCTGAAAATCATTCCTGGCTCTCAAGCTGTTCCAAATGGGAGAAACTGATGTAGTGTAACTTTTATTAGCATGTGACTACCACTGACAGAGCTGAGGTTCTTCACGTGAGGCCTGGGCTGCTTCCCACACAAGCTCACAAGAGTGGAAAGCCCCAACTACTGGCAACCGTGTGCATCCAGGGAAGGTTCCAGCATTAATCTTTTTTCTTTTAAGCACCCTCCTGCCCTTCCTCCCTCTCTCCCCGCTTCCTTCCTTCCTTCCGTCTCCCTTCCTAAAACAGTTTCATGTAACCCAGGATGGCCTTCAACTGGCTGTGTAGCCAAGGATGACCTTGGACTCCAGATCTTCCAACCACTTGGGTGCGGGATTGCAGGCAAGGGCCACAACACCCCCAAACCTCTGCATTTTCTAAGCTATCCTACTGCATATTCGCTTCCTGAGATTTAGGAGACACCTCTCTAGAAGAAAGGCCGTTAAAGAAAACAACACTATCTTTATTCCAGTTTCCAGGGGTTCTGCTTTTGTGGGTTTGAACCCAGTGGTTCTCCAGCAGGGGCATTGAGATCACATTCCCATCCCCCCTTCCACTTCCTGGTCCCCTCTCATTCACTGCAGCAGCTATGGGCTGCTTTCACTTTATAATTAGACAATTTTCAATTGTCACTCCAAGTCCATACCTAGGAATCTTATGTATGTGACGAGAAGTCTACTTTAAACATTTGCTGTTCTCGGAGAAGCTTTCAAATACTGTGTGTGAGCTTAAATGCTTTTAAAACTACAAATACCACACACTTCAAATCCATAGTTTGAGAAAGTTCAAGCTCTCCATTTCTGGCTTCACTTTTTTTACTCATGTAAACACTAAAAAAATCTATGCCTAAGCAAAAATTTCAAAAAATACAACCTCTGTAAGATGGAGAGGACTCATTAGGGAATTCTAGAGCATTCTCTTGGCTCTCCACTCTGCATTTTAAGAGGTTAAAAAAAAAACCTTCAAAGAGAAATCCATCTGAGCATCAACACTTTATATCTTTAATCCTGCTTTTAAGGTAGAAGGTTTGGATCCAAATCGCAGCCTATTCAGTTACTGACATGAGAGAATGAGCTCATTTTCATGCCGGAAAGCTAGAATTCAGTGCAGGGGACCTGGCCACGCAGCCACCTGCTGATCTTACAGATTAGCTCGGAAACTACAGGTAGGACATCTATAGATCAGCACCCACCGCCTCACATTGACAGTGCACCTGTTGTGACCCTTTCCAGTCACTGAAGGAGGCGCAGCAAGACCAAAAGGCACCCATCTCCCTGATAAGTGATCCCCTCATGCAAGTGTCCCCTAAGAACACTGCAACTCTCTCGTGTGTCAGGTCTCAAACCCAGAACAAATGGCTGAGGTGCACACTAACGGCTCAAAGCCGATGCTGGCCTGGCCGCCAGGGTCTCCCTGTATCCTTCATTCCTTACCTGTTACAGGGTCCTCCTGGCTGGCATACCCCACCCCCTACCCTGAACTCTCCAGCACCAGGGCTGCCCCTCCCCCAGCTCTCCCTTCCTATATAATCCAGCCATTTTGGTTACCTGGCTCTTTTGGTCTACCCTTTACTCACCTTGGTCAGTCTCTTGGCACAGGCCACCCCTCTTGGTCAGTGTCTGGCTCCTCTCCCCTCTTCCTGTGGGCCAGCTCCTTACTTTGCACAGCTCAGTCTGGTCAGGTCACTCTGGACTCTCCCAGATGTCCCTGCCTCTGGCCATGCTCTCCCACATGTCTACAATAAACCTCCCTCTCCTCCACCATGTCTAGGGACAGTCATGGTCCTCCCTTGTTATTTCCCTTTCTCCGTCACCATGCATGTAAGCATCCAGGTGCCGTACTCTAAGAACGCTGTGACTCTGTTGTGCCCATCAGTGTCTTGGGGATGTTGTGGGGTGCAGGTTTTGATTCAGATGCTCTAAGGTATGAGATTCTGCATGGCTGCAAGTGTCCACCAATGCCAGTACTGCAGGTCTGAGGGCCACATTTTGAGGAAGGCAGTCCTAGAGCACCAGAGTCATTGGAGAAACCTGAAAATAATGATGCTACAATCCACCCTAGATGTTATTCCAAGTGGATCAGTCTGAGGTGTGGCCTGGATGGAGAGTTCACTTACTAGCAGACAGGAGATTGACAGGAGTTCCTAAGGATGGTCAGCTAGCTCGGTTAAGCTCGTCCAGTTCCCATCAGGCCTTTCTTTACACAAAGGAACCAATTTCACTGCTAAATGCCTTTTTTTCCTCTTTATTATAATAATACAGTTCTCATCCTCACTTTTTTTTCTTTACTCTTTGCTTTTCTTAGAACAGAAAAATTAACCACACAAGAAAGCAATTTAATTTAAAAAAAAAAAAAAGTCATCACTGGGCACCTCAAGCAGAAACATTCAGAGAAGGATCTAGAATAAATCATGGAGGTAGACACATCTACCCACCCACCCCTGGCCTTTTGCTATAGCATCAGATCTTGAATGAGTGTCAGATCCATCGACCACCCCAGAGCCTCACTCTAAGACCAAAGAATCAAGCTCGACCAGATTAATGTCAGCATTTCAAACAACCTTCCAGAGTGCTCTCTTTATCCAAGATGAGCTTCCTTGTGGTTTGTTTCTGCGCTTTTGGCTAAAACAAAAAGTACCTCCCTTAGTAGGGGAGTTCTAACCGGCGCATTATGGTTGGTAGTTCTAAATGACTTTGTTGGGGGAAAAAATGAGCAATTATTACTGAAGTACAGTTAATTTGGTGCAGACAAGCATATTAAAAAATTAAAAGCAAGTAAATGTTTTGTTGGAAAACTATTGAGTAGGACAGTGGGCAAAGTCTAGGAGCCCCAAACACGGCCAGGGAGCACCCAACCTGGCCAGAAAGGGGGCTAGGGATCTGGAAGCCATGGGAAGGAGGGCAGCTTTGGACCTACCCCTCCCTTCCTGTAGGGCACACTGCCTCAGCTGTTTCCTTCCCCACAACCTTTTGTAATCCTCTTCTTCTCTCCCAGCAGAACTGATCCGACCCCTAACCTCCCCTCTCTCTCCACACCCCTTCCCATCTCTCCACACCCCTCCCCCTCTCTCCACACCCCTCTCCTGCCCTCCCTCCTCTCTTTTCACATCTTACCCTGACTGACACTCGGGCAGCTCTGCTCTGCCATCTTTTCTGACCACGAATCTACAGCATCCAGAGGAACTTTAATAACAAAATCAAAGTCGGGTAGAAACCCTGCAATGCACGGTGAATATATCTCCACAGCAATCGTTAGTCCCGGGTACCAAGCACACTCCCACACCTAAGATATCATTTGAGAGTGAATATGTCTCCACAGCAATTGTTAGCCCTGGGTACCAGGCACACTCCCACACCTAAGATATCATTTGAGAGTGAATATGTCTCCACAGCAATTGTTAGCCCCGGGGACCAGGCACACTCCCACACCTAAGATATCATTTGAGTTTGGGCACCTCTCTAGCAAGAAAGTCGCCGTTTCTATTTTTAAGTAAATCCAAATGGGTTTTCAAGGAAGACAAAGATGATTAAACACCTTCCAGATACTACGAAGGGCGTGTGATAGAATGTAAGGCCTGCTCCAGGCTGTTGCTTTAGACGGGTTTTTACCATGATATAGGCTAGCCCTTAACTCCAGTTCCAGGGGATCCAGTGACCTTTTCTGGACTCTGTGGGCATGGCATGTACACGGTGCACAGACATATATACAGAAGAAATACCTATACATATCAAGATATTTTTTTATTTTAAAGAAACTTACCTGACCAGGATTGAAAGCAACACTAAACTATGGATATAAACATATGTATTTAGAAGGCAACTTGACAACATGTCTGATTAGCACAACAACAATAGTAGATTCACGACCTCCCTGGTCAGGGGCCTTTGGCCAAGTTTACAGTATTAGACATGACTCCCTTTCTTTTAGCACATCTTAAGTTCAGTCAGAAAGCAGCTGGTTGTCTCCACGATGTCCACACCACCGGTGTAGCAGTGGTCACCTCCTGCCTGCCTGCCAGGTTGATATTGTAGTGTGCAGGGTCTGGTGCTGGGTAAGACAGTGAATAGATGGCTTTTTTCCCTCCAGTGTCCCCAGCACTGTGAAAGCTGGCCAGCAGGTAGGATGTTGCCAGATTAGTTCAAAAAAATTGATTTCTGTGTCCTCAAACCAAAGCATTTGATATCTTCAGCAACAGGGTCTTGTCATCTAGTGGTGGTGGGAAACTAAGAACAATAGCAATAGTCTGTGTTGTGTTGGGTGCCTCTGGGGCCTCCTTGACTAATAAATAGAAGTATCCCATAACCAGCACTGAGATGTTCATTTAACAACGCGTGTCTTGGGGAAAGCATTGTCTGCCCATGCAGGATACTCCTATTTAAAGTTTTTCCATTATATTCTGGATTAGCATATGAAGTACTGTTTGCATAAGGCTTTTTCATCCATCCTTAAATTTGGTAACCCACCCGCCTCAGCCATTATCTCCTCTTTCCCTTTTTCTCCTATCTCGGCTTAAAGCATTTAAGTTTCCC